AGATTTAAAGCCTCTAAAAATCCACTGGAGGGTCACCTATCAGTAAGTTCTGACTCAGCAGTACATAACAAAATAACAACACTGCTATTTGTTAATGAATTTTTTAAATATGTAATAAAATACATAATATTAAAATGTGTTTTATTCCAAATCTCAGCATACCTGATTTGACCAAATCAACTTATCACCAAGTAATTCACTATTAGTCTCTAAAATAAGACTTCAACTGTCTCCTAAAATTATAAAGTGACTTGTTTAAAGCAAGTTACAAATATAAAAATTTAGCAATTCCAACTATACAAAAGCAGAGTTTTCTTACTGTTATATAATGGGGGGAAAAAAAGAAAATTTTACTGTCACCCAGTGACAATAAAATTAAAATTTATGGATTCAAATTTATGGATTAATCAGTAACAATTTTCCTCTTTGACTATGTAAGTAATAAATATAAATGTAAACTTCAATTTTCTTCAGTGTCAAATAACTTTGCAATTCTTACTACTAGTGTTCTGCCGCAGAATTTCTTAATCTGGCTAGTTCAATTTCAAAATCCTGATCAATTCCAATATCCCAATAATGAAAAAAAGAAAAATAAACCAACAGAAACTTGATTTTGGAAAAATATGAGGACTTTATGCAATCTAGCTATAATGTTCTATTTGTTTCCTAATCTGAAATGTCCTACATAAAAAATTATCTGAAAATCCAAAGGGGAAAAAAATACTTGCATTTGTGCTTGCCTTGCATCCCTAAAAAAAGTATACATGTTGAATATGTCAAGCTTATTGTATAAATAGTAGTTCATGTGCATGTTAATAGAGAATTATCAAATGAAATGGATTCAGACATTACTACCTAGAGACAGAAATATTTGTTACAATTTCTGACTATACCATACCTTTTTTAGCTATTAAGACTTCCAGCATTTTATAATCTTTTCATGATCACACCCCAACAACTGATTAAAGGCAAAGATTCTGTCTCAAATGTATTAAAATTAATATTTCTGTACTCTCATTTTTATATATAAAAGAAAAAAAATACTGTTGTACAATGGTGACACAACAACAGTATGAAATGTTTGCATGTCATTATCAGTGTGATACCTGAGTCATTCCAGGTTGTCTAATCACATGAGATACAAAAGCCCTCATCAGGTTATGGAAAAGTGGTGTTCTGTGCCATCAAGACCACTCCAATTCACAGTTACCCTAAGAACAATGAATCTGAATCCTATCCTATCTTGTGCCATCCTAACCATCTCCAAAACACTTGAGTCCATTGTTATGAGTCACCAGGTCAATCCATCTCATTGAGGATATTCCTTTCTTATACTGATCCTCCACTGTAACCACTTAAAAAGGTGTAGAAATACATCCAATAAGGAGGCACAAAAGAAACACACTGTAACAAATAAGCAAAGAAGTTAGTCTGTCAAAATAATGTGTAAATACATCTAAAAGTACCTACCAAAGGAAAACCCTTCAAAAATTAACATAAATGCTCAGCAAAAACAAGTATATCATTTTAGTGAATGTCAATTAAAAAATATTATCTTCCACTTACTGTCTCAAAAGAACACTGACTGCCAGCAAGTCAAGGCCAAGTTGAGCACCTTTCTGGAGTTTCAAATGCACTAGCTGCTCTGCAGTTATAGTTGTTATGAGTCAGAACTCACAGAAGACCTTGCAGCAGGTTTTTTCAGAGGATGTAAATTATCTGGGAGGACACCGCCTATCTTTCGCTCATGGAGCAGCTGGTAGATTCAAAACACTCTGAGTTGACAGCCTAACTCTTTACTACTAAGTCACCAGAGTTCCATACTCTGCAAGAGGACAATTTCCTCCCATGTGATTTATAAACTCAAAGACCCAAATAAGGGTCACCTACAAGTCAGTTAGTTCAAATAGCCAGCAATTAGGTTAAGCTGGGCTTTTCTGTTATTTCTATAGACAGGGCAAATGTGTTCCAAAGATTTCCATGGCTGTAAATCATTGCAGATTTCCATTATTTTAGTTACAGCACTTAAACACTGTGCCACCAGAACTCCTAAAATTAGTTCAGGATTTAAACAATGAAATGTTTAGCTCTGAGCTAAAAATCTTAAAACAAGAACCACATTTAATTATTATTATTTGATAGATCCACTAGCTTCCATTTATGTATCGGTACTGACACTATAGATAAGTCCTGACTGTACATTTTTCATGAGTCTAAATACTCAATGGCAACTAACAATAACATTTCTCATCACAAATGTCTATCAAACACAGAGAATTATCACACTTTCCCTGCCAACTTATCAACTAAAAGCAAAGAAAAAACAAATTCCAATAAAAGTAAATCTTCATGAAAATCTGGTAACAGTACATCTATACAAAAATGAAGTAAACTTCCTCTATTTAAAATTCTTAATTCACTAATCATTGAGTATTCTAATGCCTGGAAAATAATTTAACCTCAATAAAAGATTCATTCAAGTTTGAAAGTACAGGAAAAATATTTTACCAATTTACTGAGACTAAATTGTACTCTAACATATTGAAAGAAAGAATATTTCTTCTTCCAACAGTTGCTAAGTTTCAAAACCAAAGGCCAAAAGATCTAATTGACAACTGTGATTTTCTTAGACCATCAGCCACCCAGACACTCGACAATTGTTATTTTCTAATCAAGTACTCAGTAACTTTTATTTTGCTTACTCACACATTTTCTAACAGTAAAAGAACATACTTTTAAAACAAAACCCACCCAACCCAGCACATTGCAATGCAGTTGAAAACTGACTCATAGTAGACCCTCCACTGGGTTTTCAGTGGCAGTTCACACAGGAGATATTGCCTATCTTTCTCCCTAGCATTTCTAATCACGTGCCTTTGGGTTGGCAGTGCAACAGAGCTGAAAGCTAAAATGATTCCAATCTTTTCTACATCCCTCATATTACATAATCATGGCTGCTTAACTTCAGCTCTGTATCAAACTGCCCAAATTCAAATTCTTGTTCTATCAAACACTACTTTAAAGTCATTGCTATTCAGTCAATCCCAATGCATAGCGATCTATATATGAGGTTTTCAAAGCTATACATCTTAATAGGTGCACCCTGCCCCCTCTTTCTCCCATCGAACACGATAAGTAGCAAATTCAAACCTCTGATATGCCCATTAGCAGCCTAATACGTAATGAACTGCATATACCAGGGCTTCTTTCCAAATACCTGGGTATTTCCAAATTGCTCAGTATATTTCTCCCTCTGCAGTTTAAGAAGAAATTGATTGAACACACCCTACTGGTTTTCATGAGGATAAATTATTTAACATTCGAAAATTAATGTGGGCTGGTATTGATAATTTTACAACGTAAATAAAGGGTATATCAAAGATCAGTAAACCATTCTCATCCATAAATTTAAGAGCTTCCATTCCAAAATCTTTCAAAAAGCTTGGAATTGTGTTAATTGAAAATAAACATTCAACATGTGGTATTTTTATTACTATGCTGGTTACTTGTGAAGATTACAGGAATACCGTCCAGCATTATGCATAGAATAGGTGTTGAATGTATTTTTTAATCATCCTTCATAACCAACAATACTTGATTCAACCAGTCATCTTTTGATGTTTTTTTTTACTTAATATTTAAGCATAAACTACCATACTTGATAATATCTACAGCACAGAGATATAAAAGTTTCAAGATCAATTCTCAATGGGCTCACAAAATACAATGTATCCAGAGTGCTGACTTCACTGATAGTTTGTAATTAGTTTCAACTACATAAAAAAAGATGTGAGGGTTATCTGTCTAGTTCATTTGAGTACTACCTTAAAACTAACAAATTATAAACAGTAAGGGATAATTCTCATTTGGTACATTTAAGAATGACTTCTAAGTGAAGATAAATCAGTATCAGATGGAAAATTAATAGTATGAGAAAAATGACTCCATGAATTTTTGTATAAAACTAAGAAAAGACATTAAAGAGATCTAGCACCTCATGAACCTTCGGAGTCAAAATCTTTAAATCAGAAACACACCCGCACACACACAATATAAACACACACACAAAAATAAATTGCTTCAAAGAACTCATGAAATATTACACAAAATGGGTGACCCTAGAGGACATTATGCTGAGTGAAATATCTCAGTCACAAAAGGACAAATATTGCATAGTGCCACTATTGTAAAACAAGACTGATATCAGGGGTGGGGGAGACTGAGAAAGATGGGATAAAT